TGCGCCACAAAGCAAAACAGGAAACATCGCATGTGAAATTGCCAAAGGGGCCGCGACAGAGAGATTCGCAGCAGAGAGCTCGGCAGTGCTAGAGACAGAGGAGACTTGAAAACTTGAGAAGCAAGGTGAGGTGGCCTCACTAGAGGCTCATATGAACTCATATGAGCCGGCACAATATGCCGGCTGCAATACTCTGTCTCAGTTAACACTCACAGAGACTCGGTCACTGACTTTTACTTGAGTTTGTCTAATGTCAAAGCCAGGTTTTGTATAACTTCACTAAGATATGCTGCCTTTTTTATCCTAATAGTCTACTTTTTTTTTTTTTTTTTTACCTCTGCTGTTTATAAAGTGTTTAAACTCAAGTTGAATTACATGCAGTTGCCATTTTTTTTGTAGGGTGCAAATGGTTAAATACTGTAAATATTGTATTTCTACTTGTAATTTGTTACTTGGAGTACGAAAGTAGTTTCATTTAGTAGTTATGAACATAACCTTAAAACTGCAGAATGACCAAGGACACAGAACAGTCATGGCAATCAAGAGGTAGAAAGGGAGAGCTGGGGGCTTCTTCTTTAGTCTCTTGCTGGTTTCATCAATGATAAACTTACATTGTCATCTGACCATCCCTTTGACTCTGCCTTCTTGCTTCTCTCCTTCCACCCTGATCCAAACTGCAGTGTAAATATTTCCCTTCCTTAAGACTTGTTGAGTCAACTGAGCCTACTCAAAGCCTTTTCCTTCCCATGGGTCACCTATGCTGTTCACTAGAGTAATGACGCTGCTGTCATACTCCTTCTCATCCTTAGCAGCCTTCAGAGATCTAAATTTTCTGGGCAAACACTTCCTTGAACTGGGAAGAGGTATCACAGGAGTTCTTTAATGACCCCTTGTCGCCTCTGTGGTTCCTGATGCCCAATATTTACCATTAAACAGTGCATTCTAGTGAAGATTACTAAGTGGTAATGATGGGCATATCTCATTGAATAGAATTCTGTCCATACCCCGAATAGCGGATGTCACTATAAAATCCTTCCTACTACCCAATCTGCTCCTTTATTCCAACTTTAATACTTTATCCTCCACGCCTTTCAGCTCTTCCATGTGTCTTCTCATCTCCTCATCCCAGTTCTCTCAATTGTGTAATGCAATCTTGCTTCCCCTCAGCTTCCCTACATATTTGCCGACATCTTGCTTAGCAAACTAAAAACACTCTTTAGGTGCATCTTTTTAAAAGATGCCAAAATATTATATATCGATCAGCTGTTTTCCATTGTACTGCTTATTGATGAACAGTCTTTTCTCAATCAGCTATTAGAAGATATCTCAAACCTGAGAACAGTTACTTAATACTTCCTATGGCCAGACCCTGTTCTCAGCACTAGACATAGAATTACTTCTGTGCCTCAGACTGATTGTTTTCTCACCATGACTTCACATACTGCCAAGAATGAACAGAGAGAAAAACAATCCTGGTAAATAGGTTTCCACTGTACCAAATATTCTTTCAGTGATACAAAGAATGAAGGATTTTAATGTGAAAGTAAAATCCCTGAAAAAAATAAATGTACTATATAAAATGCTAAGCATGTCTAGATTTCATAAAATAATTTTCACCTGCCTTTCCATATAGTAGAGTACTAAAACTTCAAACTTGTAAGTAAATTATTTAAAACTAAAAATTCTACAGGGTTGGCATGCAACTTGGTGGTACAATGCTTGCCTAGGAAGTTCAATGTCTTTGATTACATATAAACACCACAAAAGTAAATAAATATATATTAGAGAGATGATTCAGTGTTTGAGGGCACTGGGTGCTCTTCCAGAAGACTTAGGCTATGTTCCTAGCACCCCATAAAGAGGCTCACAATTGCCTGTAACTCCAGTCTCAGGGATCCAATACTGTCTTCAGGCCTGTGCTGGCACTGCATGCATATAGTGCCCAGACATACACGTAAGCAAAACATCCGTCAAATGAAAATAGAAAAGTAAATAAAATCTAAAATAAATCCACAGAAATAAATAAAAGAAGAAAACAAAAATAAGTATTTTATAATATAATATCTTTAATGGAATAAACACAAGTTGTGTGATGTGTTCATATTTATAAATTAGAAAGACACTTTTTGCATGAAGACATTCAATATCGACCTGGAAGTAATGATGCATGGATGTCCCCTTGGCACTAGTGGGGCTATAAATAGAAATATCATTTTGCAAATCAATGTAGCAATGCATGTATCAGAATGTCCTAAGATATTTAAGCGCATACTTTTGGCATTAACTCCTATTACAAATATATTTTGAGAAAATCAGATTTAAAAATTTATGCATAAAGATTTTCCCACACTGCTATTTCAAAATAGTCACATTATAAAACAACCTAAGTATGTAAAATTACATATTTCAGCAAAAATTTCTATTTACCTACTCAAATGAATATTATACATTGCTGCTATATCCTAATAATACACTTTGAGGCATTACAAAAACCAGCTTATTTTAGGTGAAAATTTAGGCTTTAAAATTATATAAGGATTCACTGCCATACATAATGATCACAAAACAAATGCATGTGTATATCTGTAGAAAACAAAGCTATGGATATTTTCATTTTAGAACTATGAAGAATTTCTCAATTGGCTTGTATCTGTGACATTTCTAATTCGCTGACATTATTTTCACTCATAATAATATTTCTTTAACAGAAAGTTAGGCATTGGTACATTACTAAGGAAACTCTATTAACCCTTTCAGAAACAGAGAGACTAACTCCATAAGTCCTGGACACTTGCAATTAATAGATCCCTTTCAGCAGGAATTTTACTAAGACGCACTGTTGTGTATCTTCTCAGACCTGTTACTATCTGTTGGCCCAGTGACTGGCATTAGGTAAGATGATAAAGTTTTATATAAATGAACAGTATATGAATATGAAAATTTAATCCTATTAAAAGACACAATTAATGTAAATTTCTAGATCAGATACTATCAAATGTGTGTGTGTGTGTGTGTTATTGCAAAGCACTCACAATAACACAAAAAATACCCCCCCCAAAAATCCACTCAGACTATTATCCCTCAAAAAACATGAAGTAAGAAATGGAGAACTTTATGATATTACCAATGTGATTTATGCAAGAAAATTTAATGAATTGCTGGTTAGCATGCTGAAACTCAATGCCATGCTTTCTGTCTCCCAACAAAACTGTGGTATTTGAATAGACATTTACATGTGTAAAGCAAAAGTAAAACGAAGAATTGTGTTTCAAATTTTCAAACAAACTCACTGATTATTTGTCTTTACTGGTAAAATAAGAAGGTCTCTCATACAGATAGGTGCATGTGAGTGATTTTTGCTATTAATATATGTAAGTTATAGTTAGCTTAAGAGGTCAAGATAACAGCTAGAGAGGTGGTTCATCAGCTACAAGCATGTACTCTTCCTCCAGAAGACCTGAGATTCATTCCCAACACCCAGTTCTGGTAGCTCAAGACCACCTGTAACTCCTGTTCCAATAGGACCTACTGCTCTCTGTTGTACCTTGGGCACCTGCAGTCAGATGCACAAATCCACACTCATACACGTGTAAAAATAATTCTAAAAACTAAAAATAAAATATTATAAAAAGAAACAAAGTAATGTCTATGCTTACAAGTGAATGCATGCATGAATGTGTATGTATGTGTGTATGTGCAGTCTGCATACATACACTATTTATATGCCATGAAATTAACTACTCTGCTGCTTGACCAAACCATGCAATCATCCAGTAGGCCTCTGATAAGAAGGTAATTTAGCCAACTCAAAGTGTGAAGTTAAATTTAGCAACAATGACTGTGGTGCGTGTAGGCACCACAGTTCTGGTTGAAAGCCTATTGTCTAACTTACTCTTCTGTTATCCTTATCAGCAATGGCCAGAGCCAAGAACTCTCTGGTTTAGACATCCGAAGACTCACTCTCTGGTGGATGTTAAGAGCCTCAACCTAAAGCACCATTTGCAACCAACTCAGAAGTGTGTATGGGATCCTTCAGGTAGTCCAAGCGTTTGTCTTAACTCCTTTGTCTCTATGTGACACCAGGACTAGACAGAGTTTAAAGGTCTCAAAGGATGAAGACAAGGGCACTTGGTGGAAAATATCCAAGAACACTGTGGCTTGCTGAAAGGGTATATTTTCAGTTTTCTCCTTTGCTGGAAAGATAAAAATACTGTGCACGGTGTATGTGTGTGTGTGTGTATGTGTGTGTGTGTGTGTGTGTGTGTGTGTATATATATATATTTGGATGGGTAGATGATTAATAGATAGATAGATAGTCAGATGTATATGACAGCATTATGCTGCTAAATGTGGCAAACAGTGATAAAATATTATACATAAAGTACTGATAATAAATCTGAATCTAAGCATTGCCTCTGTTTTCCACCTTGGTTCCCTTTTACACATTATTTAATAGCACTAACTCTTATTTTTCTCCTCTCAAAATTGAAAACAAAACTAAACAAAACAAAAACAAAACAAAAAACAAAAAACACCCTACCCCTATCCTCATGAGGTCACTGTCGACTTCACTAAAACCATTTAGATGTCAAGCACACTTACAGAGTGGTAAATTAAAGCTGTTAATTAAGCTCAAAATATGTTGTATAAAATTCTCAAAGGATTTATAAAATATATTGTTAAATAATAAGAATCTGGAAAAAAGTTCAGTTCTCCTCCGACTAATGTCTGGCTATCTTAACCTAAATAGTCCATGACAAAACCATGTATGAGAAGGTCTGGGCTCCTTCTGATAGTGAGTCAATGCTATCTCTTTAAAACATTTTTCACTTCAAGGTTTCTTTTGTTTTTGTTTTTGAAGTAAGCAACTGAAGACACTTGGCAGGTATCTTCTTATCCAGTTCCACTTGTACTCTCTTTCAGTTGATACCTCCTAAAACATGGCCTAGCATTGAATATGTATTTCACAGAGAGAGATTCTGACTGAAATAAAAGCTTACCTGCAGTTCCAGAGAGTTCCACACTTAAGGTTCGATCAATAGTCTTGTTCTCAAATGGGGAACCCTTGGGGTCACTGGAAGATATGGCACATTTATAAAAACAAACTGAAATGGAGTTGCTGTAGCCAAATGTATTAGAACCCCCTTCCCTTTCTGAAAATGCTTGCATTTCTTAATACTTACTTTGGTGACTCTGGGGTCAGAGGAAGAGATAAAGTTGTTGGTTTGGCTAAAGGAAAGAAGAAAAAACTAATTATAAAATATTGAGTCTTTTTCAGATCGATTTTCTGCTATGTTTATATAGGAAACAACCAGGCAACCAGAAGAATAAACTAAAGAAACCCCTGAATGTTGGCTAGAAGTCAGACTACACTCTGTTACACTAAAACACACTCCAAACAACAATTGAATTGGTGCAATCGCATTAGAGAACACATACAAACCCAGAATTTTCCAACAAATGTGCCATCTCGTTAAGGACACCAAATTTGCATCATACTATCAAAGAGAAATATTGTTTTCTGGTTTTAATTTGGAATCAGTACACGGTTTGTTTAGACAAGGAAACAGCAGACTAACTACAAGGTGACAGATCGTTATGAATATTCAGTTGATTTCACTCCTAAAATGTATAGTTTTATATCTAGCTCTGAGAATAGGATATTTCTATGAGAGGACTAAGGTTTAAGCAATAACTATCCTGAAAATTAGTTGAGGGATGATGACAAATTTTGGCCATTGACCCAGATGGTTTAAAATGGGCTTTGTATTCCCAATCTGATAGACAACGGAAAACATCATAGTTTTCAGTTAAGAGATCAATAGATATTTTTCTAAATCTCACTATTCCATTCCCTCCTTGAGTGTCACTGAATCTTACTCCCTTCAGTGTCTTTTCTCATCCAAAACTGTATGAGTAAGAGTCTTCCCATTCTAATATGTTAACTACTGCTCTGTGTCAATCCTGTACCTTGAGTGGGAAGGATATAGATGACGAGAAATACATTATGTATGTATGTATATATATATATACTTATCTATGGAGATGTATGCACATAAGCGTTTGTCCTTTTTTGTTAACTACTTTCCGAAAGTCAAGGGGTAGTTAGGTGTGTAATGAAGATCATAGAGTTGAGACAAAAAGGGTCTCTAGAACAGTTTCTTACGTTATGGTTGAATATGCTGAGACACAAAGATGCTAAATGATGCCTACAGGACCATATAAGTGATCTTGCCAGATTTAGGCACTTTGATATTTCCTTCCTCCTATTATCAAAAGGAATTAAACTCAATGCACTTTAAAGTAAGTTAATCAGCCCTAGTAATTAAGGGCCTTTGAAATGTAAAAATATTATTTATGTCCGAATTAGTCTGGAATAAGATACTTTATGTGGAAAATAGTATTTACATATTTAATTTGTGGATTAGGACTTAGTTTTTAAACAATTGAATAGTAAGTATATCATCTATCCGATGTGCATCCAGAAATATGAAGCTCACGCTGTCTTTTACAAATTAGGTACATTGATTAATTGGCTTTTACATACATACAGATAGATGAGCTGATTGTACATTAATTTTTGAGCATGCCTAATTTAATCAGCCTTTCAAAAAGAATGAAATTATGAACAAATTTTACTCACTTTTATGATATTTCTCTAATAGCCAAGATAATTTACACAGGTTCTATAGAAAATACTATCCAGTAAGGAACAACGAACCTTTAAATCACACAATAAATGCACATTGAAAGGCAGAAATGGGGATGTAGACAGGGCATATTAAGTGCTCATATAAATGTTTCAAACATCCAGATATCTAGGTACAGGGAAGCCTAAAGCAACAGAGGGGAAAAACTGGCCACAAGCATGCTGAATGCCAGCAGAGGCAAGTAGGGAATGAAAGGCTTACAAAGGGTACAGTCTGGAAGCCACCCTCAGACTGGAACCCTGACTTGACATTGGATCATATAGACTATCTCAACAGGACCACTGAGTTCACTTATAGGGAATGTCACTGGTGCTATCCAAGCACTGCCTGACCATAAGATGCTAGGACCCTCAAGTTATCCTTCATGAAGATGCTATTTTTAAATAGCATCTATGCGTGTGAGTGAATAAATGATACTCAGCACACATTGTCAACTAGGCAATTATCATGAGGAACTAAAAAGTGCATGATCCCACAGAATAACAAAGAGCAGATCAAAGCCCAGTCATAAACATGCCAACACAGGAAGAAAGTCACCTAACTATTCTCATCAAATGATCTCTGACTGTCCGGGTAATTTCTACTTTCTAATTTTGAATAACTTAACTAATCTTGGAGAATAAGCACCTATTGGTTATTAATAGCATGCCAGGCTTCATTTCTCCCAGGCTTCTAATAACTATGGCATTTCTTTTTCGTTTGAATCAGCAGGCTTTGTTCTGTGATGAGCCTTTTAGGACTTACCACAGATTTTTACTTAAAAAAAATATGCATATAGCTGGGCTCTCTCAGAAAATCCATCTTTCAGGAAACTATTTAATTGTTCAATACCATCGCTTGTAAAAGTTTACAGTAATATTTAATAGTAAGTGAACTTTAAGAAAATCTTAAATTCTAAGAGAGAGAGAGCGAGAGCGAGAGCGAGAGCGAGAGCGAGAGCGAGAGCGAGAGCGAGAGCGGGAGCGCGCGAGAGCGCGAGAGAGCGCGAGCGAGAGCGCGAGCGAGAGCGCGAGCGCGAGCGAGAGCGAGAGCGAGAGCGAGAGCGAGAACTTGAAACTATATGCTTATTGACCAGATTCCTGAGCATGGGGATTCAAAGAGCCTGAATCTCTCAGTTCAGCTCCAGAAAATGAATAGATGACGGGAACATCATCGACATCATCAATTCATCCACTAAAACAAAACCAACACACGAATGATGGGGAGAATGCTCTGCAGCCAATCCTGGCAGAGAAAGCTGTAAGGGCATTTGGTCCATTTAGTGACATTTAGTTCTCCAAACTGACAGAGATGAACAGCAAATTTGACACATCCAACAAGGTAAGAACAAACAAACAAACAAACAAAAATCTAATGGAGAGCTGATTGAAAATATTAAAGGAAAAATCCTAAAAGTACTCTACGATTGAAAGGCAGATGAATTAAACCCCAAGAAAAAAATCCTTATTAAAATCATCATCATCATCATCATCATCATCATAAGCAGCAGCGTATCTGTATGAAGTGATCATGCTTCAAACAAGATAGGGACTACTTACTACCCTGAAGCTGTAATTTAGAGAGCCAGAAACACACGAGAGGAATGTTTGTAGCTACTACAGAATATGTCTGCTTCTATGACATGATTCCAGTTAGTAAGTAAAAGCTGGCATGTTTTAAAGCAACAAATACTTTCATCAAACTCTATGCTTTCTGGCCTTCAACACTCGGAAGGGGAAGAGGGTGAGAGAGAAAACTGTATCTCTGCCAAGAGAGATTTTCCCCAAATTACCAAATCTGCCTTGGAAGCATCAGCCTCCTGGGTACATATGGGACTAATAAAGATCAACCCAGATGTTTTGTTTAATCTACGTAATATTTCCTAAATACGAAAGGCAGAGGAAGTCAGAAATTTCCAAAATCTTATATGCAAAGTAAAAGTCTGTGAGCATAGCAGGTGGTCTTAAAAAGTAAAACAAGAATGCATTTAATCAGAGAAACTACATAATGCTATTTACTGCTTCTCAAGGTAGGTGGAGGAGGTCTCCAGTGTCTCATTTTTTCCACGACTGGAAAGGGAAAATCAAAGAGTCTGTAAAGAATTGGCCAACGATCGCACATTACAGTCAATGATCTCAGTAATCCAGATGTGTATAAACCTCAAAGGTACTGTAATCCCTGCGGCCCCACTCCACCCAGCTAACAATCCAGGTGTCTTTAGAGTTCATTTCTCATGCTGCCCATCAGCTGAATGGGATATGATCAATCTGTCTCCATGGGAGACTTTCACACTCCCTTCCTCCTCTTGCCTCAGACAAACACAAATGGGGTGAAGTGCAGGATTCATGCTCTCAAACTTCACTCCTGTGTTCAGCGCCCCTGCTGGCTGCTCTCTGTTCTTGGCCTGGCTTACCTTGAGCATGTTGCGACTGCGATTGTGTATGGGATTTCTTTTTGGAAGCACATTTGTCTCTGCTGCTGTTCCTGTTCTCTGTGGGTTTGGTGTGAGGAGGGTCATCGTTTGTGGTCAGATACTTGAGAAGCTCTGAGCAGGGACGTCTTTGTGGCTTTTGCTGTTGACAAATGCTCTTTGCTTTATTGCTCCATGAATTCTCGGTCTTAAAAACAAGGCATAAAGAAAGCTAAAATTAGTGAAGTGAACCTTATCAGAATGGATATAGGTTTTTCTGAAGAGATGAGATTTTCAGTGAAGTGCTCAGTCTAAGTGTACTGGATCTATGAGCTGTGAATAATTGTTTGCAGAACAAGGAAGAAAATTACATTTAAAATTCCTAAATGTCATTTATGCAGCTTTTTATTTCATTTCCCCTACATCCCGATGTTCCTACTCAGCAACATGTAACTAACAAGACCCTACAGCGCCTTTACTGTGAGTAAAGGAAAAAAAAAAAAAGCTGCTTTAAACCTTAATTTACCGCTGACTGCTGAAGCCCAGTATTCACAACTCTCTTAAGTACCCCTTAACGCTCCGCTTTTGCTCACAGCGAATGGCAAGACAAACATTGTTTAATACAGCCCGCTAACTGAATTATGTCATTGCCAGCCTTTTCTCCAATTAATCGCAGAGACGGACCTTTCACAGTGCATCCGAAAGAGTCTTTCTCAGGTTAAACAGCTGGCAAAACAGCCATCCTGTATCTTAAAACCATCCACAGACCACAGCTACCAGCCTACCAGTAAATGGTGTTGTAGGTTGTAGAGCAGACCACTGCACGTATTAATCAAGTGGGAAAGGAATGGCTCATTCTGATAATCAGAAAAAGCAATACATAAGGGAACTCATCCTAGTTTCCCTAAGTCCCAGTACAGTGTTTGGAAACTCACTTTGTATGTGCTTTCCCTCTAAAGGCAGCTGGCAATCCTAGCTAAATTAATACATACAAACTTTAGGTGTGTTACAGAGATTCATGCAACTCCTCCTGCCCCACCCCTACTCTCCCCTGTATTAAAATGCTTGCATGCGCACCTTAACAATGGCAGGGTTTGTTCTGATCCTGTGGGTGTGGTTTGCATGGTTCTGAGTGCTAAGACCGCTGCATTCATTGTAGCTGAGCTGAGTGTTGGCTGGTGCCAGTAAGAGCTTCTTAAGCTAGACACATACCAGGAAAAGGGAAAGCAAGAAAAGTTATACATCTTCTAGACTTCAAATTAGTAGCTAAAAGTTGAATAGAATTAATTATATTTCTTTTTAACTATACCACACTTTGCAACAAGGATGATAAAGAAAATAGTTTCATTTAAAAGAATGGATTTTAAGACAACAGTACTATCTAGGAAAAGACTTTCTTTTCTATTATTTGAAACTTGACATTGTTATCTTAATTTTTAAATGATTTTTTTTTTACATAGAATAATGACACAACCATTCCTAAAACAGATTTCCAAGCAATGCCAGGCTGCTTGGTCCACCCAAGCTTTTCGGAGCAGAGGTCAGAAACTAAATCTTCCTCTCTAGGCTCATCAACCTCACTCGATAATCAATGAGCACGTTTTCTTAATCATGTTCACAACTAAACATATAACTGTATGGAATTAAAAAAATATATGTGGATTAGGGCAGTGGCTAGCACTGGAAAGAAAGGATTTGTAAGCAGAATGCTGTTCAACAGCCAAGTATTTATCGGTTCTGTTTGTTTGTATCTTTGCTTCTGGAGTCGGGGGCCTCTTATGCAGCCCTAAAAAGACTCAAACTGGGCATGCTTCTCCCTCAGCCTCCTAAGCACCAGGATCATAGGTATGCACTACAATGCCTGGCTTTACCACTTACTGTTTTATCAACCCAGTTTCTTCATTAGTATGAGTCACTCTCCAGAACCACCCTGCTCTGACAGACAGCATGTCTTTGACCCAATTGAACAAACTGTACAGATGTGAATCCTCATTCAGGAATTAGAATATTAGACCATAGAGCCAGAGACACATGGAAGGCATAGTGAGTGATGGATAATTTACACATGTAATGTTTTTCTTCAAGAGCAGACATCTTAGACTACAACGAGGAAACAAGCAGATCTCCATATGTTCATGTAGAGTTCCTTCAGACTTAACGATTTGAGAGAATCAACCTCCAAATAGCATGCTAGAGTGTATTATTAATGTTAGAACAATGGCATTCAATAATTTACACAGCATTGCTCTTCCATGAGATTTATGGCAAATGACGAATGGCTATCATAGATGAGAAGACAAACTGTACTCAGAACTAATAAAATTCTGGTCAAGCATTTTGTTGAAGATAAAAGTCACTTCTCATGGCCAACAAATTTACTCTCCATTGCCTACCACAGATTTCAGTAACTTGGGCTGCAGAAAACCTATTATTTTTCCATCTTCATAAGAAATGCTGATTGAAAGACTTAAGCAATAGCTCAGTGCCTAACATTGCAATTCTGTTTTTATAATCATAGGTAAAGATAGGTGAACATTATTGTATAATCTGTTAACAGCAAAGACATGGAAAGAAAAAAACTAAATAATATTTCGCCATGCTGGATTGCCTAATAAATCCTAGCATCTCCATACCAAAAAAACAAACAAACATAAAACAAAAAAAACAGTGTGTGTGTAACCACTAAGAAGTTCTGCATATACTGAAACTATATAAACAAACAACAACAGCAGCAAACAAAACAAAACAGACATGGCAGGTTATATTTACGTATTTGTCCATACATTTACATACGTGTGTGTGTGTGTGTGTGTGTGTGTGTGTCTGTGTGTATAACAATAATAATTTAAAAAAGAGGCTACTAATTTGAGAATGGTGAGCATGGGGAGGTGAAGAAGGATATAATAGGAAGGGCTGGAGGAATGGTAGAGAAATGAGGAAGTTAATAAAATTCTACTTCATGTAAAAAGCATAAAAATTTGACAAATCAAAAAAGATTCAATGACAATCATCTTAAATTTTAAATTCAAAAACACTGAATAATTTTGATATAAGGTTTTAAAAGCCACAGGTAAATGTTTAGTTTTTTCTTTCTAGACCTACAGTGTAAGCTTTTACCATGAACTTTAACAATCTTAAGACATACAATCACATACATAAGAAGAGTACAAGACTATTTTTGTAAATAATTTTCATTACACCATGCAGGAAATGTATTATTAACACTTTTAATAGAGAATTACAGAATGGGCAAATCTAGGCAGGGTTGAGTTTTTTTTTTTCACTTTGATCTGAATTAAGAATCCAACCCTGACTGTTCTACACCATAGCCATGCATTGGGCAGCCAGAGGCAACTCTGACCACTGTTAAACAGTAGGAAGGGTTCTTACTAGAGACGGCTCTTCTGCCTCCTGAGGAGGAGGGGTGCCGTCAGGCATGGAGGAAGGACTGGCCTCGTTGTCAGTGGTCACGTCTCCATCTGTCAGTGCATCAAATGAGGGCAATCCGTCTTCATCCACAGGGAGACTGTCCAGTGTCTCTGTGAGGACCGCTAGCAAGTTTGCCTCATTCTCTTCATCTATCTTCTGCAGAAGCAGAAAAAAAATACAGAAGACATGAGTGGATTGACATGAGGAAGTAGACACCATGATTGATCAGCAGAGGCTGAGCATGTCCGGGTGGGTGAGGAAACTGTATGAGAAATCTTCAGTGGCCATAGCAGAACAAAAATGATGTGTCTTTCCCAAACTCTTAACTCACATTTAGTCTGAATAATAGGATTACCACATACATCTACTGATCTGGTTTGACAGTCTGCTAGATCAATTCTTAATATTGCTGCATAAAATTCTGTTGTATTATAGTCATTTTTATATCCTTAATGCCTTCTGTTTCTGACTCAGGAAATCTCAAGCGTTGAGAGAATTTTAAGCATCATCTAATCTTCATATATAGTTTCTAGATCTCCCACACAGTATGCCACTCCAAATATTTAGATAACATTGCATTTGGACACCATCAGAAACTTGAACAGTACATACTGAGGGAATCTACACACTTTTGTGATTTCAATTATAACCTCATCACTGCGCACTCTGAAATCATTTATTTCTATCCCTGTCATCTCTCCAAACTTAAGTCATAAATCTCTGCCTATTGGATACTCTACCATGTGATAGCTCTCTTGTCTCCAAAACTCAAACTTGGGATCTTTCAGAGCAAAACTGCTCTTTCTCTTAACTTCTTTAGCTTGACTATTAGCTCTTCAGGTTTGTGCTCTGCAATACGTGGGCTCCTTGTAATAAAGTTAGTTGCTACAGAGAAACTTTCCTTTGCAATGTATCTTAACCAGACTCGTCTCTTGGTCAGAGGTATAACACAAGCACGAGATGGTTTTTCAGTAGGGGCTTCTGCAATGCATTGTAACTTCTGCATGAACTCATTTTCATCTCCGCCCACACAAAGCTAATCGTGAATTGTGTCTTCCACAGATGGTATTGGATACCTTAGTCTTTGGGGATAAAATGGGAAGGACTGAAGATAGAAAGAAAAATGAGACTGAACTCTTCCCTCTATTGGCAAGAAAAATCGTCTATGAACAAATCATATGAGATAATATTAGTTTTGGGTCTCTGTACAAAAACTAGAATGTTTGTATCTGTTAGTATGTCAATGTGTTCTTGACTATGCACGTTCAATCAGCCTCAGTGCTGGGCAAATGGAAGAAATGGTCAATAGTTAGTTGCATAATTCATCGATAGTATTTATTGACACCCACAGAGAAGGTGTACACTACTTTTCTTTCTTTCTTTTAGCATTTTACATTAAATGTCCAAGTTGAACTGTTTTCAAAGAATCTTTCTACTTTCTTTTTCTTTTTGTCACATTCTGTAAGCTATGACATTAACAATATGGCTAAATTATCCCACATGATTCTATTACAAAATGCACCTAAGTTGCTGACATCTAATGAGGCTGGCGATGCCCAGACTTCCTTTCTCAGTAGCACTGAGCTCTAGTTAATTGACCTGACAAAATTACAGGAATCACAGAAAAAGACAGCTAATCAGAAAATCAAATTGTATTACTAGAGAAATTAGGCAGGGCCTTATCACCTAGACATTCTATTTTCACAAGAAAAAAAAAATGTTTTCCCTTATTACTGATCACTTTTTATCTGGAAGTCAGACGACAGACTTTGCTTTCTTTTGGATTTAAGAGGCCCAGAAGAGCCATTTTATTCTCTGTGGGTGTTGATATTTGCATGTGGCATGTCCCTACTGTTCCTGGATTTGAGACTATAGTCATGTACTTTGGGCACATTACAATGTGACAAATGAATTGAATCTTAACTTCTAATGAAGAAGATAAATCCAACCAGAACTTCACAGTCCCTTTCAAATGGCACATTTACTTCCATCAACTAAGCATTCATCAAAATCTGAAATGTACAATAACAACAAACAAACAAAAGCAAGCAAACAAACAAACAACCCTCAGTCCCCCCAGCTCCCCTCCCGTGTATCTGTCCATACACTCCCAATAATAAAAACAGTGAAATTTTTTCCTTTTTTCGGTCTTCTATTATAATCTAGTATCCAAAAATTCGGGTGACACCATCTTAATTATCCCTAAGTTCTAATTACCACCACATGGCCAAAAAATTGGAGATCATAAACTTTTCTCAGTAAGATTGTATTTAAATAAAATATTCTATGAATTCTTATCAAAATACTGAAATTTGCATTACTATAAGTGACTGTATTTTCTAATAAAATAATCTTCAAAGACATTTCAAATATACATGCAAGCCAAGGTACAAATGTACTTTCATTAAACTGACACTTTTCATGAATACCTAACCCATTTTCAAAAAGGTTCAATTTACTAAATTCAAAAAAGAACTCAAGAAAAATTAAGAATGTTTACAAATAAATGAATAATTTTGTTTATCCTGATTTAAATTTTATGTTTGGCATTCCAGTGATACTACAAGATGCTATTTGCTTTCCATCACAAAATACAATAGCGTCGCAGCTCTATCCCTTGTGTAAACAAACTCTGATAATTCCAATCAAGTCAAAATGACAAAGAACACTTAAATTAACTAGTTTTCACAGATTTCTTTAATAAGCACAAGTGAATGTATACCACACACAATGGCAGAAATATTGGAACTTGATAATGTTATAATTAATTTACAAGATCTGATTAAACCACAACTATTTTAATTCTCCTCTTTCCTGAAAGCTCCATAGGAGGGAGGGGGCTTGCAAAAGGGAGGCTATCACAGAATATGTGTATGTGTTGCTGAGATGCTTGGGTCAGGGAGGCTACTATTCAACAAGAAAATACCAGTAAGACCAACCATTTTTATACTATGTTAACTAAGAATATGCATTAGGTATGATTACTATCCCTGTATTCTCCAAGACCATAATGGTTATCCTGAATTTTGGAAGAATGAAAGTGATGATCCCAAACTTTTTTTTTTTATTATTAATTATAAGAGCACAACGATATGCCTCCGTGTCAAAAATCAACAAATATTCTTACATGTAAAGTAGGGTGGATGCTGTCCCTCACTGTGGCAATTTCAATTAGTTTTGTGTGAGTTTTCATAGTCATTGTTCCAGAGAAGCAATGGATGTGACAAAGAGGACTCTGTTAAACAATTAATGTCACTTTCCATTATTGCTCTGGTCCCAATTTACAGAGCAAATAAATCAAAGTCGCCACAGATGAAGCACAGTGGCCTATGAACACGTCTGTTCATAAGTAACAGAGAACGGCAGTGCATGAGCGAGCCTGGTGACATTGCAAGGTGACATAGCCTTGGTCTTTGCCCTGCTCTGCAGTCGCTTGGAATGACAATTTTATAAAATGGAATATTTCTTGGCTCTAGCCAAAACAGTGGTTCTCAACCTGTGGGTCAAGACCTCTTTGGGGGTCGTGTATCAGATATCCTGTATATCGGATATTTATATTTTCTAACAGTAGCAAAGTTACTGTTATCAAGTAGCAAGGAAATAATTTCCTGGTTTGGGTCACCGCACGATGAAGAACTGTACTAAATGGTTACAGCATTAGGGAGGTTGAGAATCACTGATCTACAGGATTGAAAAGTAGAGAATGGAGAAAGAGAGCCAATCAACACTAGTTGTGTGGAGATCACCGACCCCCACTGGATTTCTTGCAACAGAAGATACAGGAAAGCCTTGGTTAACCAGCATCTCCATAGTTTCTCTGAAGCTATCAAGGGCATTTCTGGGCAGGGGGCGGGGACTGAGGGGTGGAGGGCGGGGGAAGGGTTCAACCTTGGCTTCTCCTTACACGGTACAATTCTGCTGCGATTTTTTTGACCTAAATAAAGGTTTGTGAGTCTGTAAAACTCCATTCTCCAAGGGCTCTCCAGGAAGAAAGTAGGCACAGGAACAAAACCTCACTCCAGGTGTAAAGAATTTCCAGTGACAGGTGATACACTGGCTTTTACACTGACGAGCCAAAATCTAGAATCTGCAACAATTCCTAAACCGCGCCTTGTCATTAATAAATAATGGTTTTGAACAGTCAACAGAATCCGGAGGCTCACTGTTGCTCTTTGAGACTCCAGTGTCCTGAAATGACTTGTGCACTGAGTGTGACATAATCCAAAAGGCACAGCTGAAGAAGGTAGACCATGTTCCTCTGGGTCCCTACGTTCAGCGGAAGATTTAAATCCCAGACTCAAGGACTGAACTGGGATGTCTTGCTTCGTGCACAGTAGCAAAAGGACCTTCCAACTGCTAAAGAAGAAAGACATGATGGTTGGGCACACAGTGCATTCAGCTCATCCAGCCACATACCCTAGAGAGCAAATAAATCCACCCAATCAAGGAGAAGATAAAGGACTCCGTTGCTAACCGACACCTGGAGGGAGAAACACAGAGGAAAACCGCATGTGGCATCCCAAAGGTTTCTAAATGCAGCCTATTATGGAAGGACCATGCCCTGCTTATGATAGTAATTTTTTCTGCATCTTGTAGAATTGCAATTACACTCTGCATCCCCAGATTCTCACACTCGCTTGATCTCTGTTTGATAAAAATAGTTTAATAGCCATTTAATCACAGCTTCATTATCTTAGCTCTCTTAATGTGAATTAGGCCATGAGAATTCTGGCTTCCTCATTATTCAAATCATCAATAAGAAGGAAACCGGAGCGGGGGGGGGGGTCTTCTTATCACTCATTAATCAATTTCGGTTTCTTAGGAACTGTTGACTCAAAGATCAATCTGTGTGAGAGGTCACTTAACCTTCCAGTGTCTCTATTTTCTTTTTTCTGTGCAAACTTTCAGGTTTTCTGCCTCATTCCTACTGCAGAATGCCCTTTTCTTCTACTGAATTTATGATTAATAGGAGAAAAAGTGTCAATGCAACTTGAGAATTCTTCAAGCTGGTTCTCAGAAGTGTTTCCAGTGTACACACCCATCATCTTGATTACCCACATTTGATTTCTTCCTATGTGCACAATCTACCACTGCCTTTCCACTCTGGGCCAGCTTCCCCCAAGTACCCAGCATGCCCTAGGCCTCTTTCTTGCCCT